GCTTTAATTTTACAGTAAAACCTGTCAGCGTTGGAATCGCAGGTGACCAGCGTTTTTTCACTGCTTAGACAAGTTTCCGGCATAGACGGGTAATTCTAAGAGTAAAATATATTTAGTTTTTCTAACCTATAGTTTGTAATAAAAAGTGCTCAGTGGAAGTACCAGTATGTTTTTAAAAACTTCTTTCGTTATAAAAACCGCAGAAATTTAGTGTTTCTTGGTCTGAGAAAAAGAATGGTAAAATAGGAAAAATTTTAAAAAAATGCATTTTTATTTTGAAATCGTACGTAACAAACTAAATAATCTGGATTTTATAAACTGCTTTCATGTCTCACAGGTTTTCCAGTTCTTCGTTAAAAAATTTTGGTAAAAAAAGGCGCTACAAAGTAAAATATTTCGGCCAATTACAGGTTTCTGGGTTTCACAGCTACCAGATCTGACAGGTTTCACTGTATTTATACATACATGCATATACATAGTATGTTGTAGAAAGTAACTGATATTCACTTTATTGCCTTATTTTTTTAATTGGGAAATTTCTACAGTTCAATATAACTTTTGAAGCTCCCGAGAATTTCTAAGCTAACTTTCTAGTTTAAGAAATAACCACCACTAATTATATGTATGTATTATTCTGTCATAAAAAAAATTACAGCTTATATGTATAAATATATATTTTTATATTTTCCATATTTCCATTTTAAACACACCTCGTGTCAAAATTATAGACGCACCACATATTGATAGGTACTAAAAATGCATTTATTTTAAACGATTTATTTGATTTTTAATTATTCTGTATTCTTTAACAAAAACCGTATAAATCCATGTTTAAAATTTTTTACACTAACTAAAAATAATCAAAAAACTTTTGTATAAATCTCGAGCTTTTTTAACTAGAGCTGTTAAAAAGATTTTGAGTAAGCAGTTGTGTAGCCTAAATATTGAATTTTGGTATAACAAAGCGCAAGATTTCACTAGCTAGGACTTGCCTCTGATTTTGGAATTTTTTAAGGTATTGCCCATTTTCTTCCAAATAAAAAAAAAAAAACATTTCTTTCATATAAAAAAATCTTTCTAGGTAATCTAAGTAAAAAGCTTGAAATTTTTACGAAGTTTTTTTTTCATATTCTGCAATGTTTCAACCTCTGGTTTTTACGATTTTTATTAAAGAAAAAAGTATACATATATATTTATATGAAAACAATAACTAAAATTAAATAACAAAAAATTCGTTGTTAAAACTTGTCCATATGTGCGCTTATAATTTTGACACCCATAATGCTATTTTCTTATTTATAAGTATAGTTTCCAAATTTTTTTGCTAACAACTAATCATTTTTCTATATACAGGTGTATAAACACAATAAATTTAATTTTCTATTGCTTTTGCGTTTGTTGCGTTTTATTGGAATGGTTTGCAACTTTTCATCCATGTTTTACTAAAATGGATTGTCGTTGTTTAGAATTTATATTTTTAGCCCATTTCCACCAAGAGCTTAACCGCAGTTAAGTGCTCAGGTAAGTGCAAATAACGTTACATTGGGGTGATCAGCAAAGTTTATTTCTTACTTTTAGCTTTTTTTGCTTTCGATTGCTTATACTTTATGTGAGCAATCGCCTCCTTCGAGTTGTAATCTCCTTTTTCCAAAAGGCATAAACTGCAGTTAACGCTTGGTGGAAAACAACTATTATAATCGTATATAATAGAATGATATACATATATGTATGAAAGTATAATGTTATAAAATACATTTATAAGTAAAAGTTTAGTATTTTCAATAAAAGATGATTATTTTTCTTGCGATGCTTTAAGTCTCAAGCGGTCAAGTTTTTATTGCATATTTGTATAAATTCGTAAAAAAAGAAAATTTTGTGTAAAAGTCGGGCATTGAACAGAAAAAAATTTTAGTCAGAGACACTTTAAAAAAATATATTTTAGCAAATCAGTCTGGCAGTCTTTGACTGAAGAGCGCATAGAATTCTAAAAGCTGGTATTTAGTTACCAACTCGATATGAAAAGGGGTTGGAAGACAAGTTTATAAGTCGAAGGAATAGTTTTTTAGCGCTACTGAAGAGAAAATATACGACATACTCATTAAAATAATCTTCATTAAAACCAGTTATAGCCGATAATATTTGAAAGAACTCGGTAACCCAGAAATTCGCGGCAAAGAATGCCATAAATAACAAAAGTAGGTGCACATAAAACATAAAAGTACGTTCACACGGCAGCTTCATTCGTTATTCCTTCGTAATTAATGTACTCATTCGCTATTGGGGAACAGAACTTATTTATTAATTTTTCGAACGACAAAAGCTCGAAGTACGCAGAACTATGCGTAAAATTTTTGAAATCGCTCACACATTTTGGCCAAAGTGAAAATTCCCAACAATAACAAATACCAGATTAAACAATAGAGTTGGAAAGAGCCTTCGGTGTCGTCCCATCCCTACTCCCTGATGCAGCTCATGCATATCCCGAAACACTGAACACACTTTCGCTTGAAAGATAAAATCATAACTCCCTCGAAGAAAGCCTAAGGTTGTCCCCTTCAACGAATACAATAATATAAGTAGAGAAAATTATAAAAAAGTGGGAATGAGAGGAACTGGAAGAGAAGAACAAACATACGAGAGTCGGGTCTAGGTAATCGGAATGACCAAGATCCAGCATCATTCACCGAAATCTCTTTGGGTGATTTTCATGCTGCTACAACAACAACAATTGAATAAGGAATCCGCCGTGTGAACAGGCTGATTAGCATTCTTGCATATTGAGTAGTTGAAAGAACGCACAAAGTACTTGGCCGTGTTCGACCGTGTGAACTTAGCATAAGTAAACGTAACATATAGTGATTTTCATGGCAGTAGAAGCGATTGGGACGAAAAAAAATACCCGAAAAAATACAAAACAAGTTCTGGAGAAGACCGGGAGAAAAACCTGAAAATTTCATAAAACAACTTTTTTTTAAAATTCAGATTTAAAAGTTTGAAGCTTTGATGAATTTTTGTCGAATTTCTATTAATTTTTTTAAATTCGCCAAAAAAACTTCATTCAATGTTTATGAATAATAAGTTTGAAATTTTGATGAAGATTTGTTGAAATTCGTTGAATTTTTTAAATCTTGTACTAAGCTCGAAATTTTGACTTACATTGTTTTCCTACATAGATAGAAAGCTAGTTTTATAAATAAATACTCGTAAATATTAAATAAAACAAGAAAAATAGCCAAAACTTGTTGAGACTTCGTGAATATATTTATTTGCCTGCCACCGTATACTGTCTCTTTCTAAATAACTATTGTTATGTTTTCTTTTAGACAAAACGGGAAAAATTCAAGTTTTTCAGGAATGCAACATAATTTGCACTGTTTCTTTAATTTCAAAAACTTCAATGTAATATCAAAAATCTTAACTCTGCGTGAGATTCTAATGCTTTTTTAGAAAAACAAAGCAATTTTTACAAGCTTTTTAATGATTTTTTAAATCGTATTTATCTGCATTGTTTAATTAGTACTGGACGGCATCGGAGCAGAATTGACTTTATTACTCCAAAATTCAGAGCTGATTTATAAGTGATAATGATGAATTTTATTAAGAATTGGAAAAAAAATTAATTTCTTTGTATGTAATGCACATATGTAAATAAAAATAAAAATAAAATATCTCCTAAAAAAAATTAGATTCATAAAAAATTTATTAAAAAAAATTATTCCTTATATAAAATAATATAAAAAATGCGTTCGAGCCAAGGCATATGAACAGCCATCAAAGTAAAAACAAAATTTACGTGTATTTTATTGTTGCTTCTGGTCTCTAAATTATCAAAAAATTTCCTGCTTTTTTTTAAATACCGTAATTGGCCAAAAATTTAAAACAAATTGAAAACGAAAAAATTAAATTTGGTGTAGCTTTCTTTCTTAAATTAGGCAATTTTCTTTAAGTCTGAAGAAACGATCCATATTTTGCTAGGCCTCAAAATCAGCGTTTGTGCTGCGGAGTTAAGAGCACATTCCAAAAGCTGTTTTTTTATCGCTTTAAAAAATTAAGGTTTCAAATGCAAATACATTTAAACAATTTAGAACTTTTGGGGGGAAAATTTGCAATATTTTACATTTTAAAAACCAAATAATTAAAAAACAACAAATGAGCTGCACTACTGCTGCTACCTGTCAATTTGTATTCTATGAAATTGTGAAGGTTAAATGAAAAATTTAAATTAAGCTTTTAGGCTTTTCCATAAACATAGAGAACGTAATTATTTGATAAATTATTGTAGCAGACTCAACAGCCTGTTTCACCAGCAATTTAAATGGAAAATGATTTTTTATTTTCTGTCAATTTCCATATAAAATTAAAAAAATTAAAATCATTTTTCACTTAAATTGCTTTCATGAAATTGGCTGTAAAAAAATGCACGTAAAAAGATTACGCTTTTTAGCGAAATTTCCAACGTAGATATCTTTTTCACAGCCACAAAAGTTTGTGAAAAAATTATCACACTGAAAATTTTTTGACAAATAAATTTATTTTCATTTGAAAACAGAATCTTAATTTTGTTTGAAGTGATGGCAATGTTTTCACTTCACTCTTTCGCAGAACAATAACTGGCCACCTGTTTAATATGCCTTGACTTCATCAGTACATTGCTAACCGCGTAAGACTTACTGCCATACCTAAACAAAAGCGTTGGGCGGAGCGGTTTCTGACGCTTAGCGTTAGCGCCGAAGTGCCATACCTAAACAAAAGCGTCAACGCTACGTCAAATGCAGAAATAACACCAACAATAAGCATAGCTTTGTTTGTGTGTAACACGAAAATGACAGTTTCGCCCTTTTCTGCAGCCAACTTCAATACCTAACGCCCTGTCAAAATCGGATTTTCCAACCGCTCAGCCTTGACGCCGCGTTGTTTCGGTATGCTTCATACAAATTGTATGGGCATGAGAGTTTTTTGACAGCCAGACAACGCTGACGCTTTTGTTTCGGTATGGCAGTTAAAGTCATCAATTTTTATGTAGCCGCTATAGTATTCGTTGTCAATGGAATATATGTATTACTACATTGAAGGTACAAGATGTGTTTAGATTGAGTTTAAAAATATATGTTATGTGTACATATATATTCTTCGTATATAAATATAGATATAGAAAGTTTATGTAGCATCTTATGTATATTATATAATATGAAAGTTTTCCTTATTTAACATTAAAAAATATTTAAGTACATACAACTGCATCGCTACAAAAGTTGTTTGCTTTCATTTACACCTATGATTAAGTTTAGCTACCGGTACTCAAGAATATACATACATATATACATACATTTAACAAATAACACTTGGTACAAATTCTTTCTAAAAAATATTTATATTGGCAACAGACATACGTATATATTTCATAACTATGTAAATGTTTTATGACTATGTTTTTTTTTAGTGGCTGCTCACACTTAAACAACTTAAAATCTAAAAACACACATCTTTTTCTATCATTTTAACCGCAGGGTGGCCTTTTTTCTTTGAACTGGTTTTTTATTTACTTCCCCCCCAAAACACTTCCTGATATAGTCCACTTATTATATTTTTACAACGCTTTTTTATTACTCTTTCCGCCCCCACTTCATTTCTTGCTGTTTATATTATTTTTTTACGCTCCACAACCTTTTCCTCTCCCTGCTCCAGTTGCTTTGCGCTTCGCTGTAATTCGCGATTCCTTCCCCTTAAATATGCAATGTTGTCATTGTCGTCGAAGCTGAGGCCGTTGTATCACTCTTCCATTGTTGCTCATCATCGGTTTCCAAATTCTCCACAGTAATCACAGAGCTGCGATTGCCTGGCGCTTTGTTTGCTGCATTGCCATACTCGTATTTATTGTAGTTATGCTCCTGTAATGGTTCCGCCGCAACATCTTGTTGGTGTTGATGCTGCTGCTGTTGTTGTTGTTGGCGTGTTTCATGATTGGGACGTCGTCGAAATGCTTCCACGGAGGTAATGCGACGCCAAGCGGTCACCGTAACCGATAAGCTGGCGCGGAGCGAACACATCAAACGAAAGGTGATTGTTGTGGCGGTATTTGATGTTGTTGTTGTTGCGCAAAATTTTAGCACAAAAATTTTGCATTTCATATTTTTTTAATTTATTTACATAAGTTTTTCGTTTACAATTTTTGTTAATTGTAGTGGACACACACAGATAAACGCGCGGTGAGGGGAAAGCGTACAAAAGTGGGAAAATAAAAGAAAAGAAAAGTGAGTGATAAATAAATAAACGACATTGCATAAATACATACATACGTACGACTATAAATACAAAAAAAAAAGAAAATAATTGTGTGCACGATCATACGTATGTATGTACATATTTAATTAAATGCATACAGTATGTACAACATATACCCAAAAAATACATATCTAAATAGTAGAGAGTAGTGGTAGGTAAGTTTGCAGTTTGACCGGGACTTGACTGGACAGTGTAGGCTATAGAGATAGATACTAAACCGTTTTTGTTCTAATACAGAGTTACATTCAAACGAGCTAGGTTTTCTATACTAATAAAAATTCATATATTTTTTTAATAATTCAGGCTTTTTCGAACTTATTTTTCTTAACAAAATTGTGTTTGTTCTTATTTTCCATTTAGCACAAAGTCCAAGTAGATATTTGTTAATGCATTTTATATAAATTTTTTATATTGAAGCAAGAATTTTCTCGTGCTCTAAGTTGGTTTAAAAGTGTTACTAGTGTTTTAATGTACACCTACAATCAAAATAATAGAAAACCACCATTTTTCCAGTTTTTGACTTTTTGTCTTTTTTTTTGCTTAGTTGCTTATTAGTTTTTTCTAAATTTTCTAAAATTTTGTATAAAGTTTGAAATTAGGATTTATGTATTTATATTTATATAATTTAACCAAATGAAAAAGGTAAAAACTGGTCGAATTGTTGAGTTTCTATTATTTCGACCGTAGGTGTATATTACAAAGCTATAAGTATAAAAATTTGTCCTTTGGCAGCTATTTTGTAATTTTGTGTAAAGAATGGTAAAAAAAAGCAAACCAATATATTAAAAAAAATCCAGCCTCTAACAGCGATCAGTAAAGTATTGCAAAGATTAAAAAAATAAATTTAAATAATAGTTACTACTTAAAAATAATGTATTAAAGAACAAATAAATGAACCGTCACTCATGATCTTTAATTAAAATTAGAAGATAATAGGCGGACCTTTTAGCCAAACTTTACTGTACCTTATACTTTTGCAAGTAACATATCGACGGCACTTTGGCAAAACCTCTCATCTAAAAACATTATCTAACAAAACAGTCTCTATTAACAACAAAAAATTATTTTGAATAACTTTTCGTACTGAATATTGAAGATTGAGTACTTTTTAGTTAATTAAGAATGAAATAGAATGCATTCTAGTATTTCAAGGTCCGTTTTGAATTAATTTTACAAGATACGAAATAAAGTTTCTTGCGTACATTGAGGTGAGTTTTAATTGTTTCACCTAGATAACCTAGAATGAACTCAGAGCCGATTTTATTGTATAATACTTAGAGTAATTGAATCAGAAAAAGATCAGAAAGCGCATTTATTTGTTTAGCAAGCATTTTTCTGGGCATACGTTTTTGCTACAACTTTCCTGGGAAAATGTGTGCGTAAAACAAGCAGAATTAAATCAGCGAACGGATGAGAAACAGTCGAAATTTATCCGTAATCGCAGTTCTTACGTTTCGAAAACGGGGCAAGTATTTTATTGGCTCCCGCCTTATTATTTATAATTTCATACGGCGATTGGTAAACAAAACATTGATTATAATTCCAATAGATCATTAAAACTACTGTTTTTACATATATTTTGGTAATAAATAAACTTTACGGCACACATATATTTTTTCTAAATAATATTATAAATAACATGGAATAAAACATAAAAGAAGTAGGAAAATGTCTGTGCAGCAACTCCAATTGTCCTAGTTCTTGCAGCTGATTTTAATTAGACATCAACTGGGCGAAGTGACAAATAGCTGCGTTGACTTGGAAAGAACACTGATTGATAGCTCGTGCTTTTAAGGTAAGTATGAATATGATTACAAAATAGATAAATATTTAACTATAAAAATGTGAACACTAAAGGTTAGTCACATATCTAAGGAACCTTTGCCAATTTAACGAATTGTGTAAAATTAAATTCCTAATTTCCACTAGGCATTTAAAAGGCAAAAGAAAAAAACATTACACTCTAAATTAAATTCGTGACGATTAAACTAAATCAACCAAAGAAGCATTTGCTCTGTCGGTATTCGCACAAAATTTATAGAAAGCTTTACAAAGCTTCTTATGCGAAGTATTGTTTGGTCTTTACTACGTTAAATAAATGTCCTGTGAGAACAGGGTTAGCGATATGTATTGTTAAAGTAATGCCCAACTTTGTGGTAAAAATGAGTGCCATTTAATGCCCGGTGGAAATTCGGTATAAGCATTTTTGTGTTGTATAATTTGAACAATTAACTATTTAATAAACTATTATTTGCTATGCCTGTCAGTAATTTCATAAGTGGCAAAATATCATAAACAATAAGGTTTCTAAATGATTTATATTACTAAAACTATTTGTAGTTTCATTACATGAACATAATTTGCAACACTAAGAGGAACGTAATAAATAACCTTGCCTTCAATCCCGACGAAATGAAGGTAGGGGAAATGAATAGTTTTGACAAAAGCTTGGGAGCCGAAATTGCAAATGATTGATTCTCTATTTTAGTGAAACTTAGACGAAATGGCCTCAAGAATGCGAATCCAACCCTTTACTTTTCGTGAACGATAAATGACTAAGAAAGAAGAAACAACAAACTTCAACGAAAAGAAAAAAAAAACAAAACCAAATAAATAAACAAAGTGTCATCGAAATTGAAATTCATATCTCGGTCGTGTGTACAGCCATAATTTCAAATTGAAATTCTGAGTTGATATGGTGTAATTTGGGCGGCGTGGAAACTTCCTATAACATTAGATATTTTCTCATATGTAGATAAGTTTGAAAATATTAGCATGTTAAGGGCGTTTGTTATAAGCATTGTTGTTTTAGTGTAAATGTGTGTTGTATTATGTGAAATAAAAAAATATGATTAAAAATGTACATTGTTTTACTCTATTAATAATATCAACTAGAAATCCAATGTTAGTATGTACACAAAGTTTTTATAAAATACTTTTTTTAATTCTAAATATTTTTTATACATATTTTTATTTGAACAATACTAAATTAGTTTTTATTTAATAAGCTTTGCACATTTAAAATTTGTATTTTTAAACAACGTCCATACATACATACTTATTAATCTCTAAAAAATAGTGACCCTTAAATAAAATGTATGAATATTATATTTAATGCACAATCAATCAAGCATCTGCACTTTTATTAATTCATAAGTGTATTCTCCGTAAATATATATTTTTTAAGTTTTCTGAAGTTTTTGCAAAAAAATTTGTTTAAAAAAATATTTGTTTTTTTAGAAATTGTCGCAAGATTATTATATTTTTATTTTTCTTTATTTATTTTTAATTTCAATAAATTTGTTATGTTATTGTTATTTTCTTTTTCTTTAGTAGTAACTTCTTTTGTATTTTATTTTGATAAATTTTTGCCTTTTCTTTAATAATTTTTAATTTTAATTATTTTTATTTTTTTCATCTTAGTTTATTTAATTTAGTTTTTACTAATTTTATATTTTGTTTTACTTTATTATTTAACTTTATTTCTTTATTTAAATTTTATTTGATTTTTGAATCTTTTTAATTTTTATATTTTTTTCATCCATTTTGTGAACTCAAATATGTATGCTCACCATAAGTTCTTTCAATAAATTAAAATATTGGCAATTTTCTCTTTCCTCTGCACATGAAATAGGTAAACACAACAAAATTATAGCCCATTTCCACCAAACGCTTAACTGCAGCTAATAAGCCTCCAAGAATTTTAACTTGGGGTGATCGGTAAGATTTATATGTATATATCAGCTACCAATGGAGCGCCCTTCCGTACCTGTCGACCGTATCAACATATCAAATTGCTGTTGATAGAGAGAGAGAGAGAGAGAGAGAAACAACGGCAACGTCTCCGTCATGCGGTAGTTAGTTTTCGCTAACGCGAAAATTCCGTAAGATAGGTCTTGTCAGCTGACGCGGTCTACGATTTTTCGTCTGTGGCTAGTTGAGCTCTTACTTTTTCTTCTTACCCCATCGAGTTGTAATCTGCTTTTTCAACTAAGCGTAAACTGCAGTTAAGGCTTGGTGAAAATGATCTATTGCACTTAAAAATTATCAAAAATATATATATATATAAAGAAAGCGAGCGAAGTCCATTAAATTGCAATAACGGTAATTGTCTAAAAAGTGAAAAGCAACTAAGCGGTGGTAGGAAAAAAATTGCAACTATTTTAACAACAAACAAATAACAAAACAAATTCACTAATAGAATTTTTTTTATAATCTTAAATAGTAGTAAAATGCATATCTGATAAATAACAAAATCAAAGCAAGCATAGAACCATACATACATATAACAAAAAATACAACAAACACAATTTCGTTAGGGGGGGAAAACGCTGTACAGAAAAACAAATCTAAAATCACATTACAACTATAACAAGATTTTAACTAACAGGGAAATTTAATTTAAATTTTACACCAGTAGAATTTTTTAAATTTAAACGTTTTGTGGAACAAATGCTGGGTGAGGTAGTAAATTAATAATTCTTATTCTAAAGTTATTGTGTTTAGGTAGTAAAGGACAAACTTAGACAAAAACAGTACAAACAAATATTTGTTATTTGAAGAAAAAAGCTATTTTGCGCCTACAATTACCACAAAAAAACAAAAAATGTGACACTATTTTCGTTTGTTAATTAAAATGTCCAGCTGTTGTTTTCACTTATAAATATCTATAAAATTTTTTTTTATCAAATTTTTGGGGGTTCCGGGTTAAAAAAAACAGTGTTTCAACTAGTATGCGCAACAATTCAAAATTAAAGTTTTAGTGGGGTTTGGAAAACTAAACCAACAAAAAGCAAAAAATTTCCGGTTGCGGAAATGCTGTTGAGAGGAAATGTGTGGCTCACAATTACCTATTGGAGCAAAAGAGTTGTATTAAACTGCAAATTAGTTACTGTGAAAATACTCTATATGCAATATGTACTACAATGTACATGAAATAACCAAAAATCTGAAATTTGGTAAAAAGTCTATATATGATCAGAGTAGTAAAAATGAACTTTTTATATGTATTCAATAAATATAACACGCAGAAAAAAAAACTATCAAACAAAGTTTTTTGAGAATCGAAAATTTAGTTTGGAACCAAACGCATTTCGGCGTTGTGTCATCATCAGTGTGTTTGTTCATGCTTAAAAAGCCAAAATTATTTTGAAAATTTACATTACGTCCAAACCAAATTTTGGCATTAATTAAATGTTTTGAGCAGCATTTGATAACTTTAGCTTTAAATTAACGAATTTCCTCTCCCCAAAAGCTATGTCAACTGTCGTAAGCCACACATTAACTTCCAAAAAGAGAATTTTTCCAACCAATATGCATGTAAATACTATATTTTTCCTCCCAAAAATAGTATTTCATTTGTTTTTCACTACTTACGATGTTTTCGATTCTCGTATCACATTTTCAGGATCATAGCGACGTATCTCTGATTCTCGAACGGCCTCTGTGAGTGACTTGAATACAGTATTATGTACGCTGTTTAAAGGAATAACAATTTTGTTTATAAAAAAATGTCTCTACAAATAATCCACATATTCAACTCACATTGTAAACAGCACATCGGGCAATAGCGTCGTTATGGGTATGAGCAAAAGACCCAGCCAAAAAACGAATGTAGAGAATACCATGCGATCCATGCCCAAGAAGATCGGTGCCAACATTATGGTGGGCCAGAAATTACTATAAATTGCCATGAAAATGAACCACATAACGATAGAACCCCAAATTGAAGCGTGNTACATTGTAAACAGCACATCGGGCAATAGCGTCGTTATGGGAATGAGCAAAAGACCCAGCCAAAAAACGAATGTAGAGAATACCATGCGATCCATGCCCAAGAAGATTGGTGCCAACATTATGGTGGGCCAGAAATTACTATAGATTGCCATGAAAATGAACCACATAACGATAGAACCCCAAATTGAAGCGTGCGTCATCCATGTCCACGAGTTGGTAATTAGACCGGCTTTTAGGCAAACAGTGACGACAACATACTGATAAGTGTAGAAAGAAAAATTTATAGAATTTGTTACTAAATAAGGAAACAGGTGGTATTACAAAAAAAAAATATAACTGTTTGCAGAAGCCAAAAATAACCTTTAAATCTCAGGATTTTAATTTTTAGATCATTGCAAAATCGTTGTTTTTAAATTTTTTCTATCATGAATAATCGCTAAACTAGGATTTTTATTTTCGGCCAAATTTTAACGTTATTTTGTGATTTTTTCGCTCAAAAATAATCGTAACTTTGGATTTTACTTTTAGATTTATTGAAAAAATTAAAATTTAAAAATAACGACTATTTTTGACGAAGAAAATTAGGATATTAAGAGAACTCGGAATAATAAAAATCCTAGTTTTCTAAGAAAAATTGCTTTTTCCCCATTTAAAATACATAGAAAACTGAGTACATTTTTTCCTATTATATAATCTTAGAGAGTGGCGGCATTAAAATTCCGACCTTATTTTTTCACATGCATTTTTGGACCACTCTAGTGACCATTTCTAAATATATAAAAATAAAATGAACTGCAATTTAAAATCAATTAGAGATGACAAGAACACGACAGCTCCGCAAATGTAATTTCCGCTCGTTTCACTTCATCCCTTTCCCCACAACACTCACCGTGTACACAATGTTTCCCAGCACCAGGTAGTCGCTCGTCTTGCCATCGGACCACACCGATTCACGCGTCATTAGCATCGGCAGCCAAAAGAGCCACACAGAATGCGACAGCGCATTAAGTATCCATACCCAAAACACCTTGACATTAAAGAGTTTGGCATCCTGTGATGGTTTATACAATTGCGGATATTTCAACATCGTATCCGCCGAACAAACTTTATCGAAAAGTCCCAAAGCGAATGGCGGCAAAGCGGTAAACATGACATTATATAAGCCAATGGTCCAACGTTCGAATAGAATTTGTCCCGACCAACCGGAATAGATCGCAAACCAGAGCTCAATCACATACAAGCATACATTCTTGTAGAAACTATAGAGTATCAATTTTGTGATGCGACTATAATTCCAAGCGCCATGCACCAGCAGCAAACGCTTCAAGTAACGAAATTGTGCTATCGAATAGTCGGAGGCGCAGGCTGCCTGCAGCCCTTCAACGCCTGAAATGCCAACGCCCACATGTGACTTTTGTATCATGGCTACATCGTTAGCGCCATCACCAATAGCGAGCGTGACAGCGCCAGTGGCCTGCGTAACGCATTCGACAATCTGTTGGGCGAGTGGAGAAGGGGCGAGATATTGTAAAGACTTTCATAAAATAGTGGGCATAAAACAATGACTTTATACCTCTGCCTTTTGCATTGGCGAGACGCGACAGCAAATCACCACGCGGCACACCAAGCAGAGCTCCAAAAATTCTTGCTTCAAATCACAGCTTAATGCATATTTCAACGTTTGACCATCAATCACAAGCGCTACATTGCACTCTTTCATATCTGTGCTTTTCAGCTCGTCCACGTGGCGGTGTATAATATCGCGGGTGGCCTGCGCAATATAATAAAATTTAATTAAAAAAAAAAGAGTTGAATTACAATACTAAACACATTCCAGCACTTACATCTAAGCTGCCCTCATTGAGTATAATTATATCCATCGAGTGTGATATAAGTTTGCATGAGTATCCGATATTGATCGCTGTCTCCTGCTTATCGCCCGTCAGCACCCATATATAAATGCCAGCGTCTAGCAGTGATGCTATCGTCTCTGGTACGCCCTCCTGCAGCTTGTCCTCAATCGCTGTTGCACCCAACAACACCAAATTGTTCTCAATCAAATTGGAGGCATCTTCCACTTTGCGCTCACGATACTGCAATGCTGTTGACGCTTTGTGATACGTCTCCTTCCATTCATTGTACACATCTTCGGGTATCAACGACACAGCACAGCAAAGTGTACGCAAACCCTCCGAAGCGAATTCTTCCAAGTGTTGCAGCGTGGTGTCGCGATACACCTGCCCATCGGGCGAGAGTCGCTCATAGATCACTGTATCTGCGCCCTTACAGTACAGTTTGATCTCACCAGTGGGCGTGCGCACTATAACCGACATACGTTTGCGTGTCGAAGTGAATTCGAGCACATTGAGTATTTCATAGCGTTCAATCATGCCGAGCGCATTGATCTCAACATAGTGGGGAGTGCGTGATTCAAAGATGTAGCCAAACATGCGTGCACCTTCGATAATGGCACGCTCATCAGGACTGGCAGCGTGATAGATAATGGTGCCATCGTCGAATTTCTCAGGTATGACAGTGTGACAAACGGCGAGTAGCGTGAGGAATTCTTTGATGACATGTGCGGTGTTGTGATTGCCGAGTAAATTCTAAGCGGAGAGAGGGAGGAAGAGTGTGTGATACATAGATTGTTGCTAGAAAGCTATTGAATCCAAATGAAGCACGCACCTGTACAATTGTTGATTCCTCTGGCGTATTACCCGGTTCGTACATATAACGCGCCACCGAACACTTCTTGAAAACCATAACATTGCGTGTGAGTGTGCCAGTCTTATCGGAGAATATGTACTTCACCATGCCCAGTTCCTCATTGAGATTCGAAGTGCGCGCCATTGCGGGTGTATCGGTCTCGGCATAGTACATGTGTATGTCGAAATTGATGAAGATGGCCTGAAAATGGAAAACAAAATTGTTAAAATTGTTTAAAAAATATTTTAAAAAGCTAAAATAATCTCAAACTCTCACCTGCAGAAAACGCACTAATTCCAGCGTCACTTGCAAAGATATCGGTATGAGATTGTTATAAAGAATGAAGAATGTCAACAAATTATAGCCAGCGTTTTTACTTTTAATGTCCTCTGCAAAGAAATATAGAAATAACTATATATATATTAAAAATGCATCCTGGGAACTCACCATTTATGCCCAAATACCAAAACATTTTCGCATTATCGCGCGTCCAAAAAAAGTTCAATATCGCACTGGTCAATGACAAAACAACCAAAATAACGAACAACATTAATATTTGTGTGTTCGTCACAGTGTCCACGGTTGAACGTTTTAAAGGTGCTGAGGTAGAGTTTTTCATAAGTTTCGTATCGTGTCCGGTATAGATGACGACACCGAATATCCAAGCGGTGTTGCGTAAAACTGCGCCGCGTTGCAATATCTGATCGGGGCCGAGAGCAACGGTGCTGAAGTAAAATAACGAACAAGGAGATATTCAAATAACAATTTTTTTTTATTTTTATTAATCGCTTACGGTTTATTTTCCCCTTTGAGTACACCATTGAATTCATATAAATGTCGATTTGGCAGCTCACATTCGACGGTGCCGTCCAACTGTAGCAGATCTTTGGTTTCCAGACATTTTGCTGTTGCTGTTGCTCCCTGACGTATTTTCAAATTTGTTTCACCATCCAAATTTGCAGTTTCTATGAAACACATTGCCTGAGGTTCACTGTAAATGGGGGAAAATTGATTATTAGAATTTTCGTAAAATCTTTATGATGACACTAAGAAAACGGTCACCTAAATATATTTCTCTCAAGACATGGTTTGGTAACTATAACCAAATAATGCAATTATTTGTGTATTACCAAATCATGCCTAAATTCTTTTCTCAGTGTAATAAGTATTGATCATAAAATAGGAAATTTCAGCTGTTTTGATTTGGCAAAAAACGTGCAACATTGATATCGTTTGATACATTTTGCGATATTTTAACGATCTTGTTATCGATTTTTTTTTATTGATATTTTGACCAAGTATACTTTCAATCAACTATTTTTCCTTTTATTAACCCATATTTATCGATATTTTTATAGTGCTTTGAATGGGCTTAATTAGTCAAAACTTTCTTTATAGAACTTTTACGATATTTTTCGATATTTTATCGACGTATTTATCGATATTTCGACTTATACCGACCATTATCGATACTATATAATCAATGATATTACTATCGTTTTCTTTTACCGGATCTATCGATAAGTTTTTAGTAGAAAGTGTTGCGACGCTTTCCGAAGTGAATTTTAGTCTCATCATCCGACACCCTACTAAAAGCGAGAGCTTTTACTTGGCAAGCGTAAGAAGCTCCTCGATTCCCCTTGGGTCGGAAGGACCAGGTTGTAGTTTTCGCCAGCTTCGCTGAGCTGACATTAAACCCATACCACTCTCGGTCCGACGACATCATTTGAAGTGTACCCTTTCTCTCCAAACTCGTCAGTCATACAATACCACTAAGAACTTATGGTCTGGTACACGTTTAAGTCTTATTAGAAAATATTCCGATGCAATTAAAAGGGAGTGAGCTCAGTTTGTGAGGTACTAATAGCTGCTGGGCTATCAAAAATTATTACTCAGACTGATTGGTTTGAAGTCCTTATGTAACGCACGATACTAAGAAATAGAAGGGTTTGAACGAATTCAATGTCTATGTCAGACGAATATTCTCAGGTGGGTCAGAAAGGGCAGCGCAACTCTCGTTCCTTCTTGGCCCACCGGAGGCTCATCGTTGATAATGGCTACTGCGAAAAATGTGTCAACGAGAAGCTTTAGCAACTCCTCACTGCACATAGCAAGTTTTCTGCTTGACCTCACAGCTAGCCAAAGTGAGCGGAGGTAATTCATGAAACATTGACAACTCATAACTGACATCGTGGTCAGTAATAAAATTTGCAATCATTGAAAAATGTTCAGTTATGAGTTTACAATGTTCGACCATCCATATGTAGTATTTCATAAAAATACACAGTTCTTTACTCACCTCGATGACAGCAACAATATATCAGCGGGAAAGAACATATTATTTGGTATTTTTACAATATCACCCACACCGATATCACGCCATCGTACCGAGGTCCAACTGCCATCACGTAACACTTCCACCATGCGATGATTAATTTCATTATCCGCACGATGACGTTTCTAGAAGTGAAAATTAGGAATTTAAATTTCGTTAGCATGGCAATTTTTCTTTAAATTTGCATATACATAACTAAATATGCATGTATGTATACTTACAATGTCCTCGACGATCTCTTTAATGCCGCTCACCGATAAAATAAATATTAATGGTACCAGTGTTGTATAGCGACCCGTCGGCGATACATCAGGAATTTGTTGTAATAATGCAATTAATAGGAAAAAACAATTCGAATAACGTCTAAATTGTTCAAAAAGGAACGATGGTAAAAAGCTTATAAAACTGTAAAGAGCAGAGAGAAGGGGAAAAAGTTAGCTAATGGTAGATAGGTTAATATAAAGAGTTAATATAAAAAAGTAAAGGAGCGCAAATTCGGTGTTGGATTCGTGGTAGGAGAGAGACTCCGTCGCCGAGTACTGGCGTTCACCCCGGTGGACGATCGTCTAGCCACAATCCGCATCAAAGCTAGATTCTTCAACATCTCGCTCATCTGCGCCCATGCCCCGACGGAAGAGAAGGATGAGGCGTCCAAGGATCTCTTCTATGAGCGCTTGGAACGTACATATGAGCGCTGCCCCCGACACGATGTCAAAATCGTGCTTGGCGATTTTAATGCCAAGGTGGGCAAGGAAGGGATCTTTGGCGCCACTGTCGGAAAATTCAGCCTCCACGACGAAACGTCCGATAACGGACTGAGGCTGATCGACTTCGCCGGGGCCCGAAATATGGTAATATGTAGTACTAGGTTCCAGCATAAGAACATCCACCAAGCTACATGGCTGTCTCCAGATCGAAAAACGAGAAACCAAATCGATCATGTTGTGATAGACGGAAGGCATGCTTCAAGCGTTTTGGACGTACGTACACTCCGAGGGCCAAACATCGACTCGGACCACTATCTTGTTGTAGCCAAGATACGCACCCGCCTCTGTGCAGCAAAAAATGTGCGCCCAACAATGCAAGGAAAGCTTAACGTCGAAAAGCTGCAATCACAACAGACGGCCAATTTATTCGCCACTCGACTCACACACCTGCTCTCTGAGAGCACTCTTCAACAATCCGACGTACGCGAGCAGTGGAACCACATTTCCCGATCATTAAGTACCGCCGCCGAAGAAGTAGTTGGATTTCAGCGAGCCCGAAAGAACAACTGGTACGATGAGGAATGTCAAGAAGCCGCAGAGAAAAAAGATGCCGCCTACAGGGCCACGCTGCGATCGGGCGCAACGCGAGCCATGTGGGACCGTTATAGGGAACTGAAGAAGGAAGCGAGACGTATTTGCCGCAATAAGAAGAGAGAGGCCGAAATACGTGAGTGCGAAGAGCTTGAGATGCTGGCCGACAGGAAGAACGCCCGAAAATTCTACCAGAGGGTTAGGCGACTTACGGAAGGTTTCAAGACCGGGGCGAACTCCTGTAAGAACAACAATGGCGACCTAGTGACCGATGTCCAGAATATACTTAAATTGTGGAGGGAACACTTTTATAACCTACTGAATGGTAGCAGCGCTGAAAGTAGTGAGGAAGACGAACCCGAGTCCCCAGTCGATGATGATGGAGTAGCTGTCCCACCGCCTGACTATGACGAGGTACGAATAGCGATTACGCGGCTGAAAAACAACAAAGCTGCTGGAGCTGACGGCCTGCCAGCCGAGCTATTCAAGTACGGCGGCGAGGAGCTGATGAGGTGCATGCATCAGCTCGTATGCAGAATATGGTCAGATGAACGCATGCCCGACGACTGGAATTTAAGTGTGCTCTGCCCAATCCACAAGAAAGGCGACCCCGCCATACGCGCCAACTACCGCGGAATTAGCCTTCTAAGCATAGGTTACAAGGTCTTATCGAGCGTATTGTGCGAAAGACTGAAGCCCACCGTCAACGAGCTGATTGGACCTTATCAGTGTGGCTTTAGGCCTGGAAAATCCACCATAGATCAGGTATTCACAATACGCCAAATCTTGGAAAAGACCCGCGAGAATAGGATCGACACACACCATCTATTTGTCGATTTCAAAGCCGCTTTCGACAGCACGAAGAGAAGTTGCCTTTATGCCGCGATGTCTGAATTTGGTATCCCCGCGAAACTAATACGGCTGTGTAAAATGACGTTGAGCAATACCACCAGCTCCGTCAGAATAGGGAAGGACCTCTCCGAGCCGTTTGATACCAAACGAGGTTTCAGACAAGGGGACCCCCTTTCGTGTGATTTCTTTAATCTTATGTTGGAGAAGATAATAAGAGCCGCAGAACTGAACCGCTCAGGCACAATACTTTACAAGAGCGTACAATTGCTGGCGTATGCCGACGACATCGATATTATCGGTAAAAACAAGGGCTACGTCTGTTCTGCCTTCTCGGGATTGGATAGAGAAGCAAAGCGAATGGGTCTGGTGGTGAACGAGGACAAAACGAAGTATCTCCTGTCATCACACAAACAGTCAGAGCATACGCGTCTTGGCACCCACGTCACTGTTGACAGTTACAAGTTTGAAAAAGTAGACGACTTCGTTTATTTGGGAACCAGCATTAACACCAATAATAATGTCAGCCTTGAAATCCAACGGGGAATCACTCTTGCCAACAAGTGCTACTTTGGGCTGAGTAGGCAATTGAGAAGTAAAGTCCTCTCTCGTCGTACAAAGATCACACTCTATAAGTCACTCATCATGCCTGTGCTGGTGTATGGCGCGGAAGCATGGACAATGAAAGCATCTGATGAGGCGGCTCTTGGAGTTTTCGAGAGAAAGATTCTGCGAAAGATTTACGGACCTTTACGCGTTGGTGATGGCGAATATCGCAGACGATTTAACGATGAGCTGTATGAGCTTTACAACGATATAGACATAGTGCAGCGAATTAAAATTCAGCGGCTCCGCTGGCTTGGCCATGTCGTTCGGATGGACAGAAACGCTCCTGCTCTGAAAATATTCAACGCGGGCCGCGATGCTGGGAACAGAGGAAGAGGAAGGCCTCCTCTGCGTTGGAAAGACCAGGTGGAGAAGGACTTGGCTTCACTTGGCATTTTCAATTGGCGTCAGTTAGCACAGAAGAGAAATGACTGGCGTGCTGTTTTGGACTCGGCCAAAATCGCTTAGGCGGTTACAGCGCCAAATAAGAAGAAGAAGAATATAAAAAAGGGTTGTAAAATAACAAATAAAATTATTGCGAAAGCACATAGCTCCATAGGCAATAGTAAACAAATTCCTACATAATAACAAACGTACACATATTTAAATATTGATACGTGAAGGGTTTTTATCCATGCAGCAAAAGCTATTTAGTTGCTCATACGACATGTAGCACGCCAGTGGTTACGAGTACGAGTTTTACCTATTAAAAATACTCTAAGCCTACGCACAGGAAGTTCAAACAAGTTCATGGGCAGTTGTTTATAAAGTATTAGTTTTTAAAATAATGATGACGACTCGGGCACAGGGGGCTGTTCGTGAAATTAAAAGTTATTTTAAACGAAAAATGTGCCGCTTATGACGTAGTTTTCTTTGTCATTACGTATGTAGGCTATGTAGGTTGGTTCTGTTCTTAACAAAAATAGTTTAATTTTACAGAGCAACAAATTTAACTTTTTTATGCTGCATAAAAAGTCTTTCGTAAGACAAGATTGTTGGCAAGATAGTTCGAAAGGCTTTTGTTGTTCAAGTACACAAGCCTTACAAAATAACCTCTTTCATTTACCACTCGTGGTGAAAAGCTATTTAATTTAATAAAATTGTTTTAAGTAATTGCTAAACGGCGAACAGCATAACGCTGAGACTTCCTCGTTAGAAGATCTTTCAATAAGTCTTTCGAAGGACAGTAACGAGCTTAAAAGATAGTTGTTAGAATTGGCAATTGTATTTCGAAAGACAAAAGCTTGAGTTGAAAGCTAGCTTCCAGGATTTTCCTGTAAGGTATTTTAAACGAAGGGGCCAACTGAACAATGTGTGCCGTAATGCCGGCCAGATGAATTTTAATCTAACTGAGAAAAAAGGAATTTAAAATCCAGAATTGGTATGCTGAGTGACAACAAAATTATTAAAAAATTCTTCTGTTTGCCGTATTTCTTCCAACTCACCTATATTTCGCAGTTGATATGTGATTGTTGCAAAATTTCTGTATTTGCGGTCGATTCAAGAAAATGATTCGTCTATCCGCATCATCGGCCGCTGGCGCTGTTGTTGTGAGGTCTTCATCATCTAGAAAAGAAAAGGATAAAAATAAAATAAATTATCTTTCTTAGAAGAAATAATTTTATTCCGAAGAGGTAAGGGTTAAGGGTAACTATTTTTTATAATAAGCATAGAGGGTGAATTTGGCACCCTGAAATTGTGCATATGGAAACTGTGCATACGAAATAATGCATATGAAAAAAACCGAAATAATGCATACGAAAAAAACCGAAATAATGCATATATGCACAGTTTCGGTTGAAAACCGAAATAATGCATATGAAAAACCCGAAATAATGCATACATGCACAGTTTCGGTTGAAAACCGAAATAATGCATATAACAAAAACCGAAATAATGCATGCATGCACAATTTCAGTTCAAAACCGAAATAATGCATATGGCAAAAACCGAAATAAAGCATACATGCACAGTTTCGGATGAAAACCGAAATAATGCATATGTGAAAGACGAAGTAATGCATACATGCACAGTTTCGGTTGAAAACCGAAATAATGCATATAACAAAAACCGAAATAATGCATACATGCACAGTTTCGGTTGAAAACCGAAATAATGCATATGAAAAACCCGAAGTAATGCATACATGCACAGTTTCGGTTGAAAACCGAAATAATGCATATGAAAAACCCGAAGTAATGCATACATGCACAGTTTCGGTTGAAAACCGAAATAATGCATATGAAAAACCCGAAGTAATGCATACATGCACAGTTTCGGTTGAAAACCGAAATAATGCATATGAAAAACCCGAAGTAATGCATACATGCACAGTTTCGGTTGAAAACCGAAATAATGCATATGAAAAACCCGAAGTAATGCATACATGCACAGTTTCGGTTGAAAACCGAAATAATGCATATGAAAAACCCGAAGTAATGCATACATGCACAGTTTCGGTTGAAAACCGAAATAATGCATATGAAAAACCCGAAGTAATGCATACATGCACAGTTTCGGTTGAAAACCGAAATAATGCATATGAAAAACCCGAAGTAATGCATACATGCACAGTTTCGGTTGAAAACCGAAATAATGCATATGAAAAACCCGAAGTAATGCATACATGCACAGTTTCGGTTGAAAACCGAAATAATGCATATGAAAAACCCGAAGTAATGCATACATGCACAGTTTCGGTTGAAAACCGAAATAATGCATATGAGAAAATACCGAAATTATGCATATGCATACTTTCGTTTTAAAAGCGAAATAATGCATATGAAAAAAAACGAAGTAATGCATACATGCACAGTTTCGGTTTAAAACCGAAATAATGCATATGGTAAAAACCGAAATAAAGCATACATGCACAGTTTCGGTTGAAACCGAAATAATGTCTAAATGCACAGTTTCCATATGCGCAATTTCGGTGCCCCGGTGAATTTATATGTTGCAAAAAATTGTCCGTCTAATGGAACTGTTTAAATCTACGCTCTTAAATTACGAATTTGCTAATAGTGTTTCGAAATTTTGAAGAGCTTACGAAAACTTAGGGCCATATTCACAATGAAGAGTTAACTTACATTCGGCAGTTAACTTTCACATTTTGTACTGAAAATCTGTAGTTAACTTCCGATTGAGAGTTAATCCGTCACTGTCAAAACGAACCTTAATATCATGAGGATACTGGCTCTTAACTATGGATGCCTTGTACATTTTTACAGGGTGACAAGAAATAACGGGGATAAACTTTAACAAGTTCGCACTCGTACTTGCATTAAGGCAGCTGTGAAACACAAAGCCCGTAAAATTCCGTATGTAATCTAGTTATTAGAGACTAAATGCTTATTCAGACGGCAGCGTTGATCCGGATAAACTCGGCCTTAATTCGGATCAATTGCAGTTAATTCCCGAGTTGATCCGGATCAACGCTGCCGTCTGTTTATTCTTTTAGTGAGCAGTGTTCAATTCTTTTTCTTCTTCTTATTGTTGTTGTAGCGGCTACAACAACCCCGCCCAGATCGGCTGATATCTCAGTCGTTGTCGTCGAGTTCCACTAACGGCAGCCCCAAGAAGCGTGCAGCCTCTATGGGGTCAGTCCATAGGGACGACGCCGTTAGGGTTGTGGGTTTTTCTTCTTCTTATTTGGCGCTGTAACCGCCCTGCAGGGAAAGCTACTAGTTGTGAACTAGAATTCTACCGGTTTGCGTTTCAGCCGAACTAGTTCACGTTCTATCCTTTTTCAATGTTAGTGACTGGTATTTTTAACATTGCGATGTCCTACGAGATGTCAATTGTTAGGCTATGCATCAGCATCTACTAGTATAAATACTAGTAGCATCATACCAGTTGATGAGATAGTCTGCCAATTCATGCCCCGTGAAAAGCATAAGTGTGCCTTTTTGCTCGCGACGCTCCAGCAGTCACAATGGCCGACAGAGCAGAGCACTCGCGTGGTAAGCCTGAGGTCCCAGGTTCAAGTCCTGGCGCAGGGAAAATTTTTTTATTTTTTATTTTTTATGTTATTTTTATTTTTTATAGATTTATTTTTTTGTTTATGCTGTTTATTGTAATTTTTAAATTTAATAAAAAAAATATTTTCGTATAATTTCTTTGTTTTTATATTTCTTCCTAAATGTTTTTTTGCAATGCAATTAGATTTTCAAATTTGTTATTTATTTATAAATTGAATAAATTATTTTTACTTACATTTATTTAACTTTAAAAATCTTAACCACCTCCAAGCGGCCTCGAACCTGCGATTTCAGAACCAGAACCAGTAGTCTTCACGTGACGCCACAGCCGACATTTGTAAGAAAAGCAATTAATTGCGTTTTATTTTTGGCTTTGGCAATTCAAAGGCAGATGTCGCTGATCGCCTAAGTTCTTCGAAATTGTCGAACTGGTAGGCACATACTAGTTAATGAACTAGTATTTTTTCTAACTGGTTTGGCTTTTCACTGCAGGGCGCCTGTGTCCACTTCACTGCGTAATTAAAAGTTTTGAAATGTTATACATTTTTTCGTTCACTATATTTCTTTAATTTCTTTTTAACCTCAAAACTAGTTTATCAAAGGCTCGTTTCTCGAGTGTTAATACTATAAATATTTTGAAGACAAAAATTATGAAAAAATCACGATTTCTTAGGATTTATGGAGTGATTTCATCACATAAATATTTAGCAGAAACTACGAGTAAATAAATTTAACACACAATAGATGCATCTACAAAAATGTGTGTATATTTATAGCCAGCGGAAATGTATTATTGGAAATTTTAGACATACTGAGCCCACGTTGCAAACCTACATATATATACATAAATCTCTACGCACAAAACTTACGCTGGTCAATGCAATGTAAACGGAAATAGATCTGGAACTTCTTCTCATACATGAAAAATTTGGCATATGTGTGTATATCTCGATGCAAGAGATCTCAACTGACAAAACCTGCTGCGCGTAGCAGCTTGATCATTGGATCATGAAGAAATTAACGATAGTCTTTTTTTTTTGAGACTTTTTGTTAGTTTTGTTTTTTGCTTAAAAATTACTTCTTTCGATATCATTTTGCTCCAATTTGCACTTTGGCTATTTTTGTCCGACTTCAAAAGAGGAGAAGGTTATCAATTTGTCGGAATATTTGTTTTCTTTATGTATGTTACCGCACAATTTGGACCACGCTAAACGATTGTTATAATTCTTTTTTCAAAGGTGGTACCTCGAAAGAGGTCCCATACTAATTTGGTTTAGATCAGATCATTGGATCATGAAGAAATTAACTGAACTCTTAAATTTGTATATGGAAATTGAAGCGGGTTTCTTTTTTGCTTAAAAATTACTTGCTGTTAAAACTCTATTGGGGCTCAATATGCTCTCTGCTCACCTTCATTACGTTCATTAGCGACCATCAATTTAATGGAATTTCACATTTATATATATTTTTCAGCTAACCACTACGAACTACTTTTCACTTATTACTAACGTTCATTTAAAAATCTTGAGCATTGTGTTCATAGTTAGTCTGCATGTGCAATTGTAGTTATTTTTCGCATGTCCTTCACAGCGTTTGCCCACAGGAAATCTATTAAAGCCTTGCCTTGCGCTGCCGTTTGCGGCTATGCTTGGTTTGGTATTCCTTTCAAATACCTTTTTATTTTTTTATAATATTGCAAATTCTTCTTCGTCGTTTCCTTGTTTTTATCTTATTTATGGCTTCAAAGCATGGCCGGTTGAAAATCACCTTCAAGCACGGAAAAATGCAATTTATTGCAATGAAAAGCAAAATGGTCATTAAGAAAATGTACGCTCGGTGGTTGAAAATGTTAAGGCATTTAACATTGTAAGCGCAGGAATGCCTACGTTGGATTAAGAGTAAAAAGTAGAGATGTCAATTATAGTTTAGAAATAAAAGAGGCTAATGCTTTGCATTGGTGCAACGTCGAAGTCAACCAAATTAAGTATCGATATAGTTGCCGGCAAAGCTAGGATAGCCGAAGGGCGTAAAGTACCATCGATGCATGAGTCGACTTCTTTAAGGCTTTCCCCTGCAATAGCAGCACCCTTCCCGAGAAACTAGATCAAGAGGATGTAGATGTAACAGCCAAGGCGGGCTACACTTTGCACTGCAATTTTTTGAATCAGGTGACTAGTGAACAAAGAGAGGTCTCTCTTACATCGCTTAAGATCTGGGAAATGTTACGATAAACCACTACTCCATACGGTGGGCCTATTGTTATAGCACATAGGGGCGGAGAAATAACTCCTCTGTAAACTATCATCGGAATTACTATACCCCGGGTTTCGGACTCACCACCCTGTCCAAAGCCCCTGATATGTCGAAGAGTGCTGGAAGGGAAAACTACTTCAAATGATCTCTCAATTATTGAGACCAAAGAATTAAGAGACGTTTGTATTGATCTTATTTTGCAGTACACGTGCTGGGCTTTGGAAATAATGTTTCAAAGAGTCCAATTGCGAAAGAGCATAAATGATACATCACAAGTTTTTTTTTATACTTGTTTCATAGCTTCGGGAAGTGTACACTGCTGGAACAAAGTATTGGCTCAGCGAATTTTTCACAATATATGCCAAAATTTTTATTCCAATATTTTTCGCAAATTTTGTATGCAAATGTGGTTTATTCTACAATAAAAAAACATAAAAATATAACTCCTAAACTTTGTGCAAAACTTACGAAGATTCAGCAAATTTTCATGCAAATTTTCAACCTTTTAAACAGATTTTTTAGAATTTGTTTGAGTATACAGATTTGTAGCCCAATCAATTTTATTATAATAAAGTACAAGTTTTAAGTAGCTAGGAATTACCGTTGCGTTTGGCAATTTTTTTTTTCACGCAGTCTCTTCCATACAAAAAATTTGATGTGCCAATACTTTGTTCGGGCAGGTATATTTTTTTGAAAAATGTTTGCTAAAAAGGTGAAAGAAATTTTTTACAGAAATAAATTGGTACTCGAATCTATAAAATCTGATGTGTGGGAAACAACGTATAAAACCAGCGGCAGATTACCAAAAACAACGTCACAGCAAACAAATAGAAAACAATAAACAAAAAACCCAGTGCTTAATTGAGACACAAAACAGAGGAGATAAAAGCAAACAAAAAACCACTAATTCAACCAAACCAAAAACTGCTGGCGCGAAACTTGATAAATACCACCACATATATAAAATGTGAAATACCACTTCTCTACACACTTTAAATGAAGGCTGAGA